TGTTGGATATTTTGCATACACAAGACATATAATGTTGTACAAGAAAATGATTTATGAAAATATCTTTTCCGCAGCTGGCACGAGATCGGGACGCGCGACCTTCCTGCAATGATAGATTATGTTGTGAACACGACTGGTCGCGAAAAATTGTTTTACTTGGGGCATAGCCAGGGTACTACCACTTTTTTTGTTATGGCAGCGGAACTACCTGAGTACCAAAAGAACATTCAGGCGATGTTTGCCATGGCTCCAGTTGTTTATTGCGGCAGGATGCCAAGTCCTGTTATGCAGTTCCTGGCGAAATTCTCTTGTTCCATTAACGTATGTAGCTTTGATGCCGATAGAAAAATCACAGAAATTTTCATATTTTTTTTACATATTATATTTTATAAACTCTCGCTATAGGCGCTGTTGAAATTAATCGGAAAGTACGAATTTGAACCTACTAGCGAAGCTATGAATATATTCAAAAAAATTGTGTGTGCGGAAGACACTATTACACAATCCTTGTGCTCGAATTTGCTCTTTTTAATTACTGGATTTGACAGTGAACAGCTTAACAAGGTATGATACTCTTAAAGTCATAAAAAAATAAATACTAAGAAGATTTCAAAATCTTTATATATGCACCCACAAAAGTTAAATAATTTTAAATAATTTAAATATTAATATAATAATTTAAATAATTTAAATAATTTTAACCAAATATGTATTGATTTATGTTGTATGTTAGCTTTATGTTTGTGAGTGTTTTGTTATGATATTTGCAGACCCTTTTACCAATAACGTTAGCGCATATTCCCGCTGGTACAGCTACAAAACAAATGATGCATTATGCGCAGCTTATTAACTCTGGTAAATATTCATAAGAAAAGCAAAATGTTCATTATATGTGAATCTTATAAACATTTTCTAAAATTTTATAAAATATACAATAAGTTGATAAAAATAATAATAATAAATTGATTATTAGGAATATTAGTTGGACCGGGAAAATTTAGACAGTATGATTACGGCCCATTCGGTAATTTAAAAGAATATGGCTGGCTTATTCCGCCAAGCTACAATCTAAGCAAGATCCAAGTGCCGGTTTCGTTGCATTATAGCACCAATGATTGGTTAGCGAATGTTAAGGTTTGTAGTACTATACTTATCAATATCACCATCTAAATTATTGTTTATTTAATTTAAAAATCTTGTGCTAGTCAGAATATTGATTCCTTCCAAGAAATACAAAAATATGTGCGTATCATATTGTAAAGAAAAGACGAGAGTGTGATATGATGAAACATAACATTCACAGAATTCTCTCTTTCTACGTAAATTTATATATTCTATTATAAAATATATTTCCTAAAAATGTTAAAGATGCACAAGTTAAGTAAACTGTTATATACAGAGTGTTTCAGAATAATCATGATAATTAAACTTATATTTTTTAAAACTTTGTTCCCGGTCACTTTTGTCTTCGATCAAACTTTTCGTTGTCGTGTGACATTCGCCACTGGCACACCTAGAACAAACATTTCACAGTCTAGGCACGCGCACTTATTTGTTAATCTTTTTAAATTAATTTTTCCATAATTATTGCAAAAATTGCAAAACATTAAAGAACTTTTCCGTTTAGCTTACTTTCCTCTACTCGCTCACGAGCGTTGTCGTGATTATTTTGAGACACCCTATATATAGTAATATTTTAATTACATAATTGTTTAAATTTCATATATTTTTTCACAGGACGTGCATAAATTGTACAAGGAGCTAGGAAATCCTTACGGTAAATTCCGAGTGCCATTTGAAAAATTCAATCATCTAGATTTTATGTGGGCTATAGATGTGAAGGAGCTTCTGTATGAAAAGATATTAAGTCTAATGACGCACTTCCCGCATTGAACTGCAATCGTATTTTTCAAACATCGCAGAGTTTAATATACAAAACTTTGTAAAAGATCTTTTTTACCATTTTTTAAACGTGTTTATTAATAAAAAACTAATAGAAAAAAAATTAAGAGAACCAAAGCGCGGATATAAAAACGCAAAAAATTTTTATTACAAATCAGTACAGAGTAATGATACAAATACAAAAATGTTTCAGCGTGATTTTTAGGTCCTCTTCAGTTTAGTAGAATTTTAACCGGTAATAGCGATCACGCGTAAACAACATGCAGCAAACATGTTTATTTTTATTATTATAGAATCAAACGTTACACACTTGTATTCATAAAACGTTATACACTTGTATTCATGAAATTTTAAGGAATTTATTTTATGATTAGCGCCAGTAATTATTTTATCGCAAATTGTTTGTCAATTTTTACAGAATTGCTCGTCTCTTCGTAAAATATGTTATTGATCAAAATAAAACTTATAGCAATATTGAAGAATTATTAAAAAACAATTATAAAGAATTAATAATCTTTTTTTTTTATTTGCATTCCTGGAAATCAAAATTTTAATCATTTACGCAATTAATATTGACTGAAACTCAAACCTTTCTGCTCTTATAGATTGATTCCATATTTAATCATTGGTTTGGTGAATGTGAGTTTTACTATTTATATCTCTGTAAGCAAAGTATAGCAAAGTATTGATCTTTCAAATTATGAAGAATATTATATGATAATAAAAATACTTTAAATTTTTGTCTTTCAAAAGCAATTATCTATAACATACTAATAATATCAACTTACAAATTATTTTATAAAACTTTAAAAAATATAATTATGTTAAGTATCAAATAATACAAAATTGTTGATCTAATTTTCATGAAACTATTTTTGCATTTTTACAAAATATTTTTAACATATATTTTTGCGTTGTCTATAATTTTATTTCCTATTTTCTTATCGTGTTACTCATTTTTTTGCGTTCTTACGTACCGCTTATTTGTTTGTCTTTTTATTTCATTTTATTGTTGTTTTATATATTTAGACCAATATTTTAATTAAAAATTAAGCAATTTTGCAATTTGCACCAACACTTAAAACAAAATACTGTGTAATTTTGCAAATAAGCTAATAAACAATTTATCTAGACGGCAATACCTCTTCTTTTCTTTTCGCAATATTTCAATCATGTTTCAATCATGGCTCATTGAATTAAAAGTCACAGCAGATTAGCATGACCTAATAAGATCGCATATATAACAATCTTATAATATTTCTAATAAATGAACAGCGCTGCGCATATAAATATTCAGAAGGAAAAAGACATAACGCAATCCAACCCCCAGTGATTTAATAATAAACGGCAATGCTTATTGTTGCTATTATGTTAACTCACTGCTACCCAGTGAGAAATGATAAATGAAAAAGAGGTATATAGACGTCCATAAACATCTAATAGACATCTAATAGACGTTTCTTCAACCACTGTATTTCTCACTGGGTAATTATAATTTCTTCGATTCTCTAATATCCGCAAACACTGAATTATATGATGGATCAGATGATTACATAAAGGATAGAATATATGAATGTCCATTTTCGGAAATGGACATGATATCCGTAATCGAGACAATGTGGATCAAGAACTCGCGAAACTTCCACCCTCAAAGGTGAAACTTATCACCGTAAATGCAATTGTTAACTTTTTAAGCTACCAAGTTTGAATATAAAAAAAAGTAAAAAAAAAATTTTTTTAAATTAAATTTAGCAAAAATCGCCGATTTTATGCAGCTTGAACTGGTGAACAAATATGGCTACAATGGCGAGTTGCACAAAGTGGTCACTATCGACGGTTACATTTTGAAGCAACATAGAATAAAAGGGTAATTTAATTGTAATGCGGTGCAAAAACCTGTTACGTTCATGATGCATAGTCTTCTGTGCAGCTCGGCATATTGGATCCTTTCCGAACCTGATAAAGATTTAAGTGTTGTGTCCAAAACAAATAATTTATTCTTTTCAACTCTCATAAAAGTTTCTTCTTCACAAAATATGTATTTTAATGTAACAAAATAAAACAATATTTAAATGTTATGTAGAATTATAGAAAAACAGTTACAAAAGAAATATATAATTATTCTTTTCAGTTACGTGTTTGAAAAAAGAAATGTAATTACACTTCACGCAATTAATATTGATTGAAATTAAACCTTCTGTTCTAAATTGATCTCACATTCAACCATTAATATAAAAAATGTAAGTCTTAATGTTCATTGAGCATCGATGATATTTTAATATTGTCCGAACTCTTATCAAGGATACTATTAAATATGACAAAAGTTAAAAATACTTTTAGACTTGTATATTTTTTGAAGAAAGTGATTTGCAACATATTAGTAATTTTAGCTTTTAAATTTACTTTATAAAATTAAAAAGTACGTAACTATGTTTTAAGAATCGTATAATGCGACAATAAGCTAAATCAAAATGAATATTAATAAAGGTAATATGTACATTGTTAATGCTGAGAGATATTTAAAATAAAATGAACAGATTGCACATGTAACAGTTAAAAAATAATTCTTATTAGAGGGTTGTAAAAGGAAGCAAGTATCGCTTCTACATACGTACACGTACAACGTTGTGCACAGCATTGCAAAAGCGTAGATATTTATAGTTGTTGGGGGGCGGAAATGAGATACATCAACTTAACGAAGTTACGCAAATTATGCAGAGCATAACAGACGGTTACCTACTCGACCATTTCACATTGTAAGTCACAAGGTTGAATTTTATCGAAAAACATATTATTGATGTTCCCGTAATGTCGCGTGCGTAAGTGTGTATGTGCGCGCGGGCGCGCACGTGGCCGCGACCGTAAATTCGTTTCTCCCTCTCTGTTATTTCAGTATCGTAACTTTAGGGAAAATTCGACCTCGTGACATTCAACACATCGCTCTTATAGGGTAGCTTTAGCTTCCTGTTCTACTTTGTACATTGCGTCTAGCAAAAAAAAAAGAAAGTACATCGCTTCGTATGTGGAACTGATTTTTATTGTTAAGCATAATATTCATCTGCTTTTACCGCATCTTCTGCATGCAGAATCGATCGCGAAGATATCTCTCGGAGTGGTGGTGGTACACAGAATAATTTCCACCCCCGAAAAGCTCGATCCTCAAAAAATATGGACGTTGTCGCGCGGATATTTACTGTCACGTATCAACTCCTCGGGAAAAATAGTTTATTTCATTTCCGACACTTTACACTGTATTTATGTTTTGAGAAAGCGCGTTTTGAGGAAGCAAATCTTCAAGTTTTTTTTTTTTTTTTTGGCAAATTAAACGAGTGTGACAACTGCCGCTTACAGCGTGACAGATTCTTCGCTTAGTGTATACAAAGTATAATCGGAAGTTTGTAGGAGCTATACCGACGATTCGACTCGAACCCATTAACGATATACTTCTTGAACCGAATCTCATGTAGCAAGTACGGCGAAAGCATAACGTGTATCATATAATACCATAAAGGTACAGCTCATTCTTTTTACTATTTATATATGCAATATTTATGTGTTAATAAAACTGCTGAAATATATGTACAATAAATAAATAAAAGAAGGAAACATAACACGTGTCAGCTTAGATACTTTCGGTGATAAATCGATCTTCAGTATATAACTGTATTTTTTTATGTAATTTTACTTAGAGCACTGCTAAACATGTTTGCTGTTTATAAAAGTGTGGTATTGTGAACTCTATAAAAAAACATTATGCATGGTAGTGTAGGTACTTTTGATATTATTTAATAATCAGTCTAAAATTTGAACAATATGTAGCAACGTTTATGATAATCAAATACTGCATGAAAAATCGTTTGAAGATTGCACTATATATAAATAGTATTATGTATATATATATATATATATATATATATATATATATATATATATATATATATATATATATTATTATA